ACTAAAACATAGGTATGTTTTTTAAAAATTCCCTATCCGTGTTTGCTAGTGTGATCTATTCCTATTTCATCCTCAAGTTTCCTTGTGCTGATCTTTCCATCGTTCTCTTCCACGCGCAATAAAACTTCCAAGTCGGTATCATTTCTTGCATCTTCTCTTTGTTCATGCCTTGCTTCACATCTGCAGTTACTTATTAGGGTACCTTTGGTCTCAAATCTCTGGATGTTCCTTGCGATTGTAGATTTTCAGGTATCGGTCTATTCGGATACAGAGCAGCAAACATGTCCGACACCTTTTGATAACTATTGCCTTGATAATACCATTTAATCATCAATACTTTTTCTTCGGTAGTGTAATTCATGGCTAATATTTTCGATGTAGGTATGAGTTTTTAATAACAATAATAAAGCACTAAATAGATAAATTTCTGAAATGATAACTTCATTTGACAGTTATCTTTTACCTTGACTGGTGCTCATAAGTAAATACAGGGCCATAAGAAAGGAGAAATATTTAAAAAGAAATCGGCGATAACTCGTAAACGGGCTAATCAAACATATCTAAAGGTATTCTTTTGAATGTGGGTTTTAGTGCTCTTCAATAAACCTACATAGAATTATTCTCTAAAATAATTAAGGAAGCCAATAATTGACCCCATTAAAATTTACATGAGATTTCCTATGTCCCGCTCGACGATGCAACACCCGGTATATATAAATATATACAACTCGGGATCTCTACTACCAGAAATCAACAGAAGAATTAAGTTAGCAAGAAGTACTTATGGAAGAAACTTAATCATATTCAAATCTAGAATGCCACTTTATCTAAAGAAGAAAACATTCGACCAATGTGTACTCCCAGTCATGACCTATGCATGCGAAACCTGGACACTTAAAACGGACATTATAATGAAACTGCAGGTCGCACAACGCTCAATGGAACAAAATATGCTGGGAATAACCAATAAAGATCGTAAAAGAATAGAGTGGATATGACAAAAGATCCAGATAATCACAGATCCATGTCATCCACAGAATCAAATCCCTCAAAAAGTGACAGTGGGCAGGACACCTGGCAAGAAGGACGGACAACAGATGGACCACAAAAACTACAGCATGGTACCCACGAAAAATTAAAGAGACTTAGAAGAAGACCAAACCTGAGATGGGACCATGATATTAGGAAACTACAACAATATCTATAATGATGGGACTACAAAGAGAGTATTGTTGCGGACCCGTGTGGACTCGACCTAATCCAACTATATGTCCCGCCCCCAGATGACCTTAACATCGCATTAAAGAATAGACACCGTAATGATTCATTCGAACGTTCGAGAAGAATCGAGTTCCACTGGAATGGAGTAGTACATACGAGAACATTCGAAACCTTCTCTATGCACCTAACGATCTATGGACTATTCGAGAAATCTTTAGCTGTAGGTATAATGGGTATAAAAGCCGGCGGCTGGAGCCTGAAGAGGACAGAAATAAATAGACGAGTACAGTAGTTGTCGCGCTAAATTCAAAATAAATTCTTTCTAGATAAATAGTTATAAATCGTTTGTAAATAGTTCTTTAAGCCTTTTATCGTTATTGTTTTTGTTAATTAGTGTAAATAAATTGTGTTTAAATAAATTGTGACTTTCTATCCACACGGAACCGACGAAAAACGTAACAGTATTTAAATGTGAGGGAGGCTCCACCATAATTGGAGACAATTGAATAAGCTGAAAATGATGATGATGATACCGTATGATCGAAAAAAACGGCTGGGATTGACAGTCGATGATAATTTTAGTAAGGTCAATCGCTACATTTAATTTTACATGTAGAATTTCAACGATCTTCATTGCAAAGCCATCGTTGACAAGGTTTTTTTCATCATGCGAGACTGTATGACGTCTAGAGATTGGCATCGCAAAAATTATCACAAATTGTCTCTCCCCAGCCATCTTCGACGCCGTTTTTTTTTTGATCATGCGGTAGTCACTGTTCTCGATTCTATAAGTTCTATTTTTTACTAAAACATCTTCAATGAGTCTTTTAATATTACAATACATCGTTAGGAAATATAAAAAGTGTAATAAAAGAACATCATAATTGTTATTTCTGTTTTAACTTAGCGCCAGAACAATATAAACCCAACGTCACATCTAATGTCACAGTGAATTTACGATAAACGCGAAAATAAACGACACAATACTTGGCTTTGCTCTACTTATCCTTGCCATAAATTACACACATTTTCGAATAACTGTAATAAATTCAATAACAGCAAAGTGTTATCGACAAATACCTAATTTTTCCGTCCCGTCTTGCTAGAAATTTTTGAAACTGTTTTTGATAATTATCAGATAGATATTATATTAAATAAACTAGCGTGTACCAGCGACTTCGTTCGCGTCGAAATCATTTGTAATGGTGATGATAAAGCAAAGCAAGAATTTCCATTAACATACAAACTGGATAAAATTTTCTCACATTTATGTCAGCATGAGAAAAAACAATATGGCGATATTATTATATAACTTGGTAATATTTGCGCGGTAGTTTCATCTCGTTGGAATATGACTTTCGAAAAATCCGTTTGCCAAAAACAAGCTTTTTACGTCAAGCAGTTTAAGCAAAATCGTGGTTAAAAAATTACCCAACTTTTTGAAACACCCTGTATCATTTTTTAAAAAAATTCAAAATATGTAAAAAACCAAATAAATTATGCTTGTCCAAGCGTTTTCCCCAAAGACTATCCGTTTTTTAAATAACAAATATTGTAATATTTGAGGGGCGTTTTCACCCTCTTGGAATTTGAGCTTCGAGAAACCCCTCCTTATTGAACCTCTACACACCACAGTCAATTCGTTTGCCAAAAATCAGCTTTAAACGTTAAGCAGTTTAAGCAGAATCGTGATTACTGAATGGTCATATTTTATGAAACACCCTGTATAAATTTATAAAAATCTTAAAATATGTAAAACAACAAAATAAAATATACGTGTTTAATAGTTTTTCCGAAAAACTCACCGGTTTTTAAATAAAAAATATTTTAATATTTGAGGGATAGTTTCGCCCCCTTAGAATTCGAGTTTCGAAAAATCCCTTCTTATCGAACCTCTATACCTTAAAGCCAATCTATTTTCTAAAAATCAGCTTTTTACGTCAAGCGGTTTAAGCAGGATCGTGATTAATCAATTACCAGATTTTTCGAAACACCCTGTATACATTTTTAAAAATTCTTAAAATATGTAAAAAAAGAAAATAAAATGTTTAAGCGTTTTTTCGGAAACTTGACCGTTTTTTAAATAAAAAATACTGTAATATTTGAGGGGTGGTTTCACCCTCTTGGAACTAGAATTTCGAAAAATCCCTTCTTATCGAACCTCTACACCCTAGAATCAACCTGTATGCCAAAATTGAGCTTCTTACGTTGAGTGGTTTGAGCAGGATCGTGATTAATCAGTATGTCAGTCACTTAAGGATTTTATATATTAGTATAGATACCAAATCTCGTTTGTTTATCAGAAAAAATAAAAAAGTTATAGGGGTGAGCCACTTTTGAAACGCACCCGGTATTATTACATCAAAATTCCGTTATTTTCCCAATAAAAATATCAAAACCTAATTTAAATAATGTTATATTTAAATGAGTTTTAGTAAATTTAATTAAAATGATCAAGCCGTAATTGTTTTTGCAAAAATAATCGCATGGCAGTTTATACTTACGTTATCACGTTGTGAACTCGTTGATTGTCTCATTATTGTAAATAAATGATATTTATTTAATTAAGGACTGTCGCGATATCGAAAGTTAACTTGTTGAACTTTCTAGTTGTTTGGAACCCACAATATTATTTGCATTCCTGCTCGGCCAAAGAAGTGGGTACACGTCATTGGATAAAAAAAAACACTTTTTTATACAGGGTATCTCAAAAAACATGTGCCATCTCTCGTGGGGAGTTTCCTCACGTAAAAATAAGATTTAGTTTTCATATCAACATAGGTCCGATTCTGCTTTGTTTCGTAGCTACAGGGTGTTAAAGTCTGAATAATTTTTCGATTTATTATAATTTTCTACCACAATGACTATAAGTGCTACATATTTTAATGCTAAAAAAGTGTTGATAAATTCATCAGGGACGTGCATATGGGTTATCACTGGAATATTTTTCAAAAAAAAAATATGTGCGCCACTGACTTTTTTCTTTTAATATCAAAATTGTGTAAGACGTTTAATGCCAATTAAAAGTTAGCTCTTGATATTTTGTCGAATTCGGCCTCATTGATGAGATAAACGCAATTTTATTAATCACAATTAATAAAATGAAATTGATAAATTAATTATTTTACCTAATTTATTACTAAATATTATTACTATTAGTCCAGCATACAACAATTTCGAATAATAAAATTATGGTATTTAAGATAATTACAAAAAACCTAATTTTAAAAAGTTTTAACATCCTGTAACTCTAAAACTATGCATTTCCATACCCATGTTTATAGGAACTTTTTTTCATATTTTTTGAGGAGGAATCAATTAGTTCTTATTTAAAACTTTCTCAAGTTAATGATAATCAATTTTTTAAAGGTTGCTATTAGACTTGGGATCAAGGCAAATTAATAAAATTGCGTTTATCTCATCAAGGAGGCCGAAATAGACAAAATATCAAGAGACAACTTTTAATCGGCATTAAACAGCTTACACTATTTCGGTAACAAAAGAAAAAAAGTCAGTGGCGTACATGTTTTTTTTAGAAAAATATTCTAGTGATAACACATATGCACGTCCCTGGTGAATATGGCAACACTTTTTTAGCCTTAAACCTTAACTTTTACCCTCAAAATTTCATTCGAAACGCTCAAAGTACTTGGAAGAACTCCTCTCGAGGGATGGCGCACGTCTTTTGAAAAACCCTGTGCATGTCCGAGTATATTTCTCTAAATCATACTTTCCAATTTTAGCAAGTACCTATTACTACACAAAAAAGAAAAACTTACCTCTTGAAGTGTATTCGGATTCTTTGTAGTTTTATTCAAATATCTTTCCTGATTCTGACAAAACTTAGCAGTTTGTTTATCGAACTTCTTTTTCTCGTTCTTAACACCACCTATGTATTTTTTCCTGAATTCTTCCAACTGCTTCAAGACTGACGTATTTGCATTTTCAAGCTGAAACAAATATTTTTGTTATCAATAATAATATAATTGTTAGCTAAAGAAAAGTCTAACTTTAAAACACCCTGTGGAATAATTTCGTCAGCATATTTTCTTAAAACATTATTTTTCGGTCAGAACCATGTCTCCTAGACATTTTGTTTTTTGGATCATTTCAATACATACCTTGGTTAATTTTTAAGAGCGTAATGAACTTGCCACCAACAATTTGCAATTTTTTCAATTATCATTTCTTTTTAATGTTATTTTTTTAATATGACGAGGTAATAAAGGCCATGTTTTAAGTAAAAGTTTAAAAAATCTACAAAAAGATTTGTTCACCCATACAATTGTGATCGCACATACCGTTGCTTAACCTCGACGACTGATTACGTATCTTAAATAAAGACTATTGTTACGGATTCCGTGGGTCCACTATTTAAACTCACGATAAAATACTTAACGAATTTATTTGTTTCACTCTGTACACACAACTTATACTATTTACAACACAACTTATGCAACTACTATTACTCTAACGGTATTTCGCGGTATTTTCAAACTTCAGACTTCAGACTATCTTCAGACAGTGTCGAAATATACATTTTTTGCGACATAAACCGCGCTAGGTATGTTTTTTTTACGTTCACTTCAGGGTTGGATAACGACGCGTAGAAACTTAATTTTCTACGTGTATGTAGAAAAGTGCATAGAAAATGTAGAATATTAGAAAAATGTAGAAAATGTAGAACAGGTACAAAATTAATTTTGTATATAAGGCGTATTTTTTAAACTGTAATATGTGTGCACGCGCTATCTCTCTATTCTGTGAAAATATTTGAAATAAATATAAACTCAAAAAAAGGCTTACTATATACAAAACTAATTTTCTACGTCTGGACATGTAAAAAATGTAGAAAATTAGTTGGTGTACAAAATTAATTTACTACGTGTAGAAAATACGGTAGAAAATATAAAATTTTCTACCTACCCAACCCTGGTTCACTTAGAAGTTTGTTTTTTTCATCTCTTTTGTTAAATTTAATTTTGATAATAATGCATTTAGTTTTGATATTAAGGCATATTTAAAAAAAAGAAATAAATACTTTACCATCCTGTTTCTTTCTTCTTCGACTTGCACGATGAGTTCGCTGAAATTCTTCAGTGACGAACATATAGTTTGTTCGTCGTCAGTTTGTGTGCCTCCGATACATTCGAAAGTAAAACCGTTTAAACAATTGGCGAACGACCTTTGGGCATTCCCGAGCTCTGAAAAAAATTATTTAAATTATTTTCAAGAACCTACATATTGTACTAAGATGATTAGAGTACCAATACAGGGTGAGTCTTAAATAAATGCAAATATTTTCAGGGTTGGTAGATCTCGATAAAAGAAACATATTTTCCCTTTACCGTTTTTCAAATAAGTCCAAAATAACCGAGTTATTTTACTTTGAAAATTTCCAAAAAAAATACTTTTTGCTTACATTTTGGGAACCACCGGATCTTTTCTGGGTTTTCTTTTCTTCTATTATCAAGAAATCATGTTTTTTAACTAAAAACTAAAAAAATACAATTTTTTTGCAAAAAATTCCAAATTTTCAAAGTTTTTTTTTCGCGAAAAAAAACTCAATCATGTTTCAGGGGTTGAATATACTACCCTTAAAAATATTTCCACTTATATAAAACTCACCCTGTATAATTAGAACTAGTACCATATGACCGAAAAAAAAACGGCGTCAAAGACGACTGGGGAATAAATCTATTTCCAAAAAAGCCTATTTTCCCGAATTTTAAACTACATCATTTAAAAATCATTTTTAGTCAATATAAAAAATACAACCTTCTTAAGGCCGATTGACATCTAGAGCTTGACCTCGCTCAAATTACCATCGATTGTCAGCCGTTGTATTTATATTTTGAGAGTTTTTAGTATGATCAATGGTCAATAACCGTATTGTTTTATACCAAATTAAATTTAATTTTATTGTATACGTTTTATAAATATGTGTCTGTTAATAATTTATTAATAAACACACACGATATTTTCTGACACATGCAAATTATAATATTCGAATCGAGTATATACAGGGTGTCCCCCTTAAGATGGATACAAGCCAATATCTTGGTTGTTTATTGAGCGATCTTTTTTATTTTTGGCAGGAGACTGTATGGCTATAAGACGTACATTTTGCCCAGGGTAAGAAATGCGATACCTCATAGACGTACGTTTTAATGGGGTTTGATATTTTTCGAATCAAGAGTAAACTACCCTTAGGACAGTATTTATTTCAAATCTGATAAATTATATTGAATCCTCCATACCTAAGATACTTAAGTTCTAATTTTGATAAATATTGATACAGGGTGTGTTATTAAAATAAGACATTTTTATTTTTATTATTATTTTTTTAAGTACTTACCACGTCACTGGGTAAACAACTGGTTTATTATCAATAACCAATTATAACCAATTATCAATTAATAATCGATTTAAGTTTGGTCGAAGATGTTGACTTTTAGTTCGTTATAGTTTTATAAATCTTTGTTTAGAGCATATTTTTCAAAGTTAATAGTGATTGTTTTAAATAACTATTTGGATTTTTTAAATATTCCTCAATAAAACGAATAAAAATCATATTTCAGATTCCATTAAAAACTGGGTTTTAAATTATTTTGTAACTCATTTTATTCATTTGTATTAGCAAACTTAAATCGATTATTAATAATTGATAATTGGTTATAATTGATAATAAACCAGTTGTTTATGCAGTGGCGTCGCCGTTGTAAATAAAAAAATAATAAAATAATAAAAATAAAAATGTCTTATTTTAATAAGACACTCTGTATAAATATTTATCAAAATTAGAACTTAAGTATCTTGGGTAAGGAGGATTCAATATAATTTATCAGATTTGAAATAAATACTGTCCTAAGGGTAGTTTACTCTTGACTCGAAAAATATCAAACCCCATTAAAACGTACGTTTATGAGGTATTGCATTCCTTACCCTGGGCAAAATGTACGTCTTATAGCCATACAGCCTCCTGCCAAAAATGAAAAAGATCGCTCAACAAACAATCAAGATATTGGCTTGTATCCATCTTAAGTTGGACACCCTGTATGTAAGCGTATTGCTCTACTTGAAAAATAATAAATTTTTGCCGAAATCGATGCCTTAATAATTAGTTAATATTTAAGCAAATCCATTTAATTGTCAATTTGTGTTAAATTGGAAGCTTGATATCCCACCCTATCCCAAAAATGGTTTATTTAGCTTTAAGCCTCAGTCGTCAAATTGCAAAACTGTGTTCCAGTGAATAACTTACAGAGTGGGATTTAAAATGTAGGTGATTTCATTTTGTCCTCCACAATAGGTAAATAGGACACATCAAGGTGACTCAGGCTTCCGAAAAAGCTCTACAGTATGTCCCCGGATTGTCTTTACAAAAGGAAAAACTTTTTTGTTATTGACAGAAAATTTTCAGAAAAATGCATTCTTCTAAAAAAATTTGCTTGCTCTAAAATGGTTGATCCCTTTTATACTTTGCCAAATTTCCAGACCGTTAACATTTAAAAAAACAAGAAAATGTAGATGAATTTTTTCCTAAAAATCAAAAGGCGTTTTCATCCTAACGTCATATTATTTGCTGTTTTAAAATGTTAAAGAAGCACAAACTTTATTTAGTTCAATGTTAAGGAAAGGGTGATAATAGTTATTAAAAACTGTGATAATTTAACAAAATTAAAAAATATGACGTTAATCAAAATTAATTATAACGATCTACCAAAGAATGAAATCGAAATTATATTACCATAGAACTCAATTATTTTGGAAGCCAATTTTTTTGTGAAAAATGTATTTTCCTCAAAATTTCAATAATAAAAAAGTGTTTTCTCTTGTAAAGACAATCCGGAGACATACTGTATATTACAGCATCTTTATACGCTTTTAATTTTAAAAAAAATTAAACCTAACCTAACAGAGTATATGAAAAACCATAGATCTTAATAATACAGATAGTATTCAGAGAGAAAATTGCTTTTTTATCTATTACTTCCTTACTTCCTTTATTTTTTTAACAGGAAGATATATATCTTTTTTTTATCGTGTAAAAAACAGGAAAACTAATGATAAATTAAACTGAGACTGCTTTCTCGCGTTGAGAACCATGAACAGGAAACTATTTCATAATATTGTCACACTGTCTTGACAATATTTTAAGGCAAAAAATATGAAGGCAGACGCGTAACAATCTTTACTAAACGAATCTTCTTTTATGACCGATTTCTAAAATAAATATTTTAAATTTAAGGATTTATGAAATTAACAAAATAGACTTTTATAAGTTATTGTTTCTCCAGTGTCGATTTAATGGTTCTGATGATATTAACACAGTATTAATGGCTAAGATTAGTAAGATCTTATATTAGTTTCTCTTAGCTTTTGCTTGAGATTTATAATTCTATTAATTTAACTGTTAACTGAATCTGGTGATGATGCTACTCGTAATAAATAAATAAATAAATAAATAAATGCCTTTATTGTCAAAAACTTTTACAATTTGTAGACAAAGGTAAAGTAAACAAACAAAAGAGAATACAAAACAAGTATACAAATTACATTGTCAGTCTTATTGTGTAAAATAAACATTTATAAATGTTTACAATGTCAAAGAATAAAAAAATAAAAATAAGATTCAAAAATATTTAGTAAGTATAGTAATAGCAAATATTAGACCAGTGTTTACAAGATCAAATTCGATTATCAAAATATTAGTCATTTACGGCGTAGAAAGCCTTGTCTAGAAAATAAGATCTCAATGCTTTGCGAAATGAAGAAAATTATGTTGTTGTTGGATTTGATTTCAAATGGCAGGTGATTGTGCATTTTTTTTCGAGTTGTATAATATTGAACACTTGGGTCTAGCCCCAGCAAGGCAACTATTAAGCTTGACCAATCACCTTAGAGTTTTTGACAAAAGCGGGTGCAGAACAGCTGTGGCGCACTATATAATTTATTACAAACAAATAAAGAAAATCAATGAATATCTAAAAAACAAATATAAATTAGTAAAAACCAACCAACCCCACCAAATACCCAACTAAGCAATGAATTAACACCCTCCAAATAACCACGCTAACCAAAGCTTAATAGTTGCCTTGCTGGGGCTAGACGCAAAATATTGAACTTTTAACTAACCCTGAGCGTGGGGTAGGTAGATAAAGATCTTGCTCCGCGTTCCTGAGTGGATAAATGTGAGATGGCCTTTCTTGAGAAGCTGATACATGCTTACATATTAGGCAAACGGATTCAAATATAAATAAGGAAGGAAGAGTTGATATTTTTAATTTTTTAAAAAAGTCCTGGCAATGAGTTCTGCTGTTTAGTCCCAGTGAATATCGAACAGCTCTCTTCTGGAGCTTGAAAATGCGGTCAAATTGAGCCGCACAACACGTACCCCAGAATGGAAGGGCATATCTGAGGTGCGACTCAAAAAGTGCATAATAAACAGTTCTAGCCACTGACAAGTTAAGCTCCTTAACGACAGATTTTAATGCAAAACAGGCAGAGCTTGATTTTTTCGACAAAGCGTCGATATGCATGTCCCATTTCAGAGAATTGTCTACAACAAGCCCTAAGAATTTTACAGATTTTACGACGTCAATGGTGGTGTTGTTAAGTACAAAAAGCCGTTAAGTTAGCGAAACGCGCGTGCAGTGCAAGAGTAAAATGTTTTGGTATATTGTGGTGAATTGTCAGAAATCGCAATTATGTAATTATCGAAAACTAATAGCTCATTATTTCATAAGACTATGCTAATATCAAAACGTTATTAAGTTTAGCAAATTCAATGATGAAGGACGTACTACCGTATGATCGAGAAAAAACGGCGTCAGCGATGGCTATGGAATGAAGATCGCTGTCATTTTATATGTAAATTTATATGGGAAATATCATCGATGTTCATTTCCCAGCCAACTGGACGCCGTTTTTTTTCGATCATACGGTATATATAACGTGCATATTTTAAGATTTAAATCAGATTCCAGACTTTAAATTTGTGCACTATAGTTCGCTCACCATCTGTAAAAGAAGCAAGGGTCGTTGACTCTCCTGAATTTGATCGATAAAACAATGTAACTCCCCCAAAACTGCCAGGTTTTCGGGATGCTGCCTTGAGATGATAGCCGGAAATAATATTGAAGAAATTTTTTGAGCAAATAACTAATAAAGTGAATGGTTAAGGTAACTTCTTAGCCTATTT